CCCCCCAGCAGAACAGTACTTCCTAACCATTTTGGAGAACTGAATGAAAATATTTCTGGTTTATATTAAAGATATGCCACATGTGGAATGATTTTTTTCAAAATATAAAAGGAACCCAGTACTTGTGCTGAAAGTCTCCATGGTGTTTTAATCCTCAAACTTCTCATAGCTCAATTTGTGACCACCTTCACAGCTGCATAATTTCTTTCAGTTGTACTTCTTTGGAGCCATATATATTGTTGTCATCTTCCATTTTTTTCCCCTAAGATATGATTTTAAGAAGGCATCCAGCCTTGATGGAAAACACTCAGATGGAGAATGCAGAATTTCTTACAGTAATACCAGTTATTGCTCTTCAGTTACTATTCTCATTGTTAAATTTGTGGCTTGATACCATATTTGAATTTAAGCTTTCAGTCACTGCTTCATGTTAATTTTATTTTTTTTCAATTGGATTAACCAGCTTTTAAGCCTGAGAGTTTTGTTTCCCTGCTAGTATTTGACTCCCACGGTTCTTTCTGCTAAATCTCATACCTTTCCTTCAACTTTTAAACAAATGTTCCTGGTTCTTCAGTTTTTCAATGTTTTTCTTAAAAGACATGAATCCCTGAAGCCATATGTAATCTTCCAGCACCGGAAGAGTACCAAAGCAGCATAGCTGGCTTGTTGCATGGCATCCCCAGGCTCTTCTGGCTCCATGCCATAGGTTTTCTGATGCAGCTTTGCCACAACAACTCTGTGTGCAATCTGGTGCCCAGCACAGAAGCACCAGTATGCTTCTGCACAGGTCCAGCTCCTGGCAAGTAAGAATTTTCCAATTAGCCTATGTGCTTCGCGTGTCACAGACTGCACTCCCTAGTGCCCCTGGTCCCAGGGGGCTTCATATGACAAAAGTTGTACTGTAACTATACACAGCCAGCATAGCTCAGGTGCTGAACCTCAACTAGAAACCCAGAGTACTTGCAGGTGATGTGCAGACATACTTAAAACAGCTTTGCAAGAAATTTCCCTAGAAGAGGAAATGAGGTGGGATGGAGAGTGACAAGAATGAAGGTATGCATCTATCTTCCATGTTCAGGCTTTGTGGTGACCAAGCCCTCTCCTCCCCACCTTCCCAAAGCCTTCTGCAGTAAGCGAGGCAGCAGTCATCTGTGACTGGTACGTTTTATGCTCAGCAAAACATGACTTCATGTATTCAGCATCAGATTTTCCTCCCAAGTGGAACAACTTGTAGGAATCTGGTTTGGTTTGGGTTTGTATTTAGGTTTTTTTTTTCTTTGCTTTGAGCTGATCATTAACTGTGTATGATTACCAATAAGATACTAATGAAACACCCTTCCTCCATTTTAAATTCAGGAGGTGTTTAGTTTTGGAGGGTAACACAGGGCTATTGTCATCCAGGCTGGGTAAATAATATTAAGCAACATAGTATATGTTTCTTGGGAATATACGAAATTTTATGCATACTAGTTACTGTACTAATAACACTAGTGACCTTTCCTGGATGTTTTTTCTGTCTATGAACACATAATCATTTACATCCAATATTTAATAGTAAGAATATGACACAACTGCTTAACTGTAGGAAGACTTAAAACTGGAGTTGATGCTGCATGCTTATTCTAGTCATTGGTGCCTAAATATCACAGTACGTTTAATATGTAATGTCATATACATACTGATGTGAGTGCAATGTACTGCTAGTAGCTCAGCAGAATGGGAACTTTGTGCTGATGAAATGTCAGTCTTAATTTTTTGATTAATTTAGCTCTGGGCATTTTGTGTCAAAACCAGAACTGACCAAATACTGCAAAGTGCTGTGCATGAAAATACTTTCATTTCTTTAATGTAATGTCTCGCAGATGTAGAAGTGGTCCTTCTGTATAGTCATTCAGAGATGTTAGTGGTCATGCATACTGGAAGGGATTTCATCAGATTTAACACCTTTAAGCAGTGGCGAAAAAATATAGTCAGAAAAATGAGTCGGTAATTAAATTAGTTACACTGGAAAAGGAATTGTAAATTTTGTGCTTAGCAAAGGAAGAAATGAAACTCACCATGCAGGGTACGGGTGACGAAAAGCCACAAAATGTGTTGGAGTGGTGGCCATCGGCAGACAGTGCCTTGGTAGGGCCAGGCAGGAGGGAAACTGCTGATATGGGTCACTGGTGAGCCTCAGCTTCCTGCAGTGCTACCTCTGATCTAGGCTCTGAACTCCAAAGCTGTCACTTTACTTGGCTGAAATTGAGTGTTTATATTGTTTATAAACCAGACCAAACTTCTGAGAGGGTGTTTTTCTTTGGGGTTCCCTTTCACATTTTTTTATTTTTTTTTCCTCTCAGACTTCATATAAGAGGTTTTTCATTTTTTTGCAGACTGTTTTCTCAGAGCACTGATACTACTATTTACTACTAGGTGGATCCAGATTCCTAGAGTGAAAAGCCAGCAACATCACTTCTTTGAAGGATATAAATTGTGTTTAAAAACACACTGAAAAAGGAATATTGTTCATATATGTGCTATTTGATATGAGAATGGCAACCGAAACATCAATAAAGACTTTGTTTCATTTTTTAGATAACAGTGGCAATTTTTAAACCGTAAAAGATTCAGGTTGCTGTATGTATAAAAGGAAGTAATGTTATTTCAAATTATAATTGGGGAATATTTGATAGATGTGGTTATAGAATAATGAATTAGAATAATAGAAAGTTAATTGGGTAACATCAGAAAAGTTTATTCTGGTATATTGGGATTACATGCTTCAGTTGATACTTAGTGTACTTTTGGGATTTCTGGTTGCACCTCACCTCTGGTTCTGATAATATATTGTATTATGAAGAATATTAATAATGCTGCAGAACAATTACTTGTTCATTTGCTAAATGATTAAAATTCATGCATAATTTATTGGAACTGCAAGAGACTTTATAAATAAGTCTCCTTGTCCTCAAGAGCTTACAAACAAAATGCATATGCTAATATAAGAATGTGCTTTACTTCTTAATATAAAAATCTAATATGCAATGGTATATTAGTCTCATTAATGTGAGGTTTTATTTGTGATAATAGCGCCTTTAATCAAAATGTATACTTCTAAACACAGCCTTATGTTTTAGAGGTTTATAACTCAGACTTGGTAGTGCATCAAGCTCATCACCATTTATGTTTTCTGCCGTAATATAGACTGACCTTAGAATTCATTAGTTTGACGTTTAATGTGTTAGTTCTACAGCAAATAAATGGCCCTTACTAAGGCTGGATGCATTTCTGAGCTTTGATGCAGGTAGGGATCTAAATTAGTTCATATGCACATTTCTTGGCAAAACTGGGTTTTAATTAATAATTAATTGAGATACTTTGTACAGAGTTGTGTTCCTATTTCTGCTTTGGGGTATACACCTGAGAGTGTTTACCTTTTCACTCTGGGAGGAGAAGATCGGCTCTGCTTGCAGCTACTATGGCACACTTACAGCTTCCCCTGTCTCCAAACTGAATTGCATGAGATACAGCTAATCTAGGAAAAAATCTGCAAGAAACCTTTTTTACCAAAACATGGGAAAACTCAGGTGCTTACGGAGCTGGTAAATATACTGTTGGGAGCCAGTTCTGGCATCTAGAGGGGAAACTTTACTGTTGGATATATAGAACCACAGAGTTGCTAGCCAAACTTCACCATGCAGAGAGTGGGATGTCGAGGAGGTCTGGAGGCCTGCTGCAAGCCCTGCCATTATCAGTTCTCCCCCACCATGGGCTCTGCCAGTGGCATTGGAGGGGTCATTCCCAGGAGGCAGAATATGTTTAGTGCTTCAGCATCATAACTTCTTTTTCACAGAGAGGTGGGGGAAGCAGTGATCAGAAAGGACCCCCCTCTAGGGAAATCTTATGGCCTGGGGTTAAATGTATTTTTAATGTACTGGCCATGAGATCCCTTCTACCTGCTTGGAGTTGCTTCATTGTTAGTTCTTCATTGCTGCTGTGTGAAACCCCCTGTATGCTTTGAATTTAGCATTGTTAACTAATTAACTGAAACAAATTAGTTGAAATACGAGCCATCTGGAATGAAAATAAACCTTCGATGTTTATCAGTGGATTCATTTTATTAGAAAAATAGATGTTGCTTGTGATTTGCTTCTTAAAATAAATTGTGCTGGGGCAACGTGCTGCTTCTCCATGCAAACATTTCTCGGGGTAAGGGAGACCTCACCTTCCTGTTTGGTCTATTGTTACCTTTTTACTTTGCAGCGGTGTTGAAATATTTAGGCAGTCAGATGATGATAACAGAGGAAGACAAAAGGCAACATACATCCTATTGTTTGAGTTTCTAGATCAGTAGTAAATTACCAAAGAACAAAATATTATATGTTGTTACTACATGTCTGCATTTTGTCATTCTCCTGGCAGTTTTGCTCAGTTCTGATTATTCTGAGTGCCTGTAATATAGGCATCTGTATCTTTTACCCTACCTGCATCTGCTGGGTTACAAATGAACTGCAGTGATACTCCTTTTTAAGACTATTGTGTGCAGGGCTAGTGTATCAACTATTGCAACTGTTTCTTTAAGGAAAGTACATATGTGGCTTCTGTGAATAAAAGAAAATCAGTTATATATCTGATAATCTCAAGTTATTGCCATAGTAAATTAGATAAATGAGCATGAACCCAGATTTTTATTTTTTTTCCCCAGAAAAAATGTTAAGAACTAGCAATATATCTGTCAGATAGGATTTCATGGTCCCTAGCTGGGATTTTTAAATGGAAAAAATAGCATTGGGCAGATGCCAGTGGTGCACATTCACTTCCAGCAGTGGAAATTCTCCTCAGCTCTTCTTCATTGATGTCAGTTTCGAGTTTTGAAATTGTTGCTGACCAAAACATGGCAACTTTCTGTGCAAAGAGCCCTTTTCCTAATGGATTTTGCAGCTTTTGTTTTATCACTGGCTTTTTATATCGTCCTACAGAGCCACCTCGGCCGATAGCACCCCCACAGCTGCTGGGCGTTGGGCCCACGTACTTGCTCATTCAGCTGAATGCCAACTCAATCATTGGGGATGGACCCATTATCCTGAAAGAAGTGGAGTACCGAATGACATCTGGGACCTGGACTGAAACCCATGCTGTCAATGCACCGACTTACAAGCTCTGGCACCTGGATCCTGACACTGAGTATGAGATTCGGGTCCTGCTCACTAGACCAGGGGAAGGTGGGACTGGACAGCCGGGACCACCGCTCATCACCAGGACCAAATGTGCTGGTGAGTGCTGCTTTGGAAAAACAAATAAACAAACAAAACTATGATGATTTAACTAGTTGACAGGCTTGTTGGCTTTAATCAACCTGTAGCAGAACTTAATGGGTTCTTTTGGCACCCACAGGATCCCCAAGTTTCTGGACTAGTAAGAGTTTGCTCTGTCCCTTTCTTTGCCTGGTCACTGTCTAGGTTGCTGTTTGCTAAGCACAGTGAAAATATGAATATGTATGGATATTTTCACCTACATTTTAAGTAAACTTGCACATAAAGGAACTTGCACGGGAGAAATCTGTTTAAGAAATAGAATTTTATTAACAAAAAAAAAAAAAGTACTTCTGAGTAATTTTTCATTTTCCAAGAGGATATGCATGGCCTGACAGAATCCTCAGGATCTAAAATACAACTACTAAAATCTCTAACTCCTAAAATACAATGGCAAATGTGAGTACACTGTTTTCTCCATTTTGACTATCACCACTACAATCATGTGCAGCTAAATCCTGCTGCCTGCTGTGTTTTTTGGAGTGCCCCTGCATGGA